CGCTCATGCTGCTGGAAGAATCCGAAGGTGCGCCCTGTCGGGCTGCTGCCGTCTGGGATTGGTTGTCTGCCGTTGCTGTCTGGGCCGCGTTGTCAGGGGGTACCCAGCGGCCTTCCCGAGTCCAGTAGCCTGATTTGTCCAGCGAACGCATGTTGAGGTCTCCGTAGTGCCCCCACAAAGCAACATCATCTGAGCTGGCTTCACATTGTTCTTGGTCAGCTTCTGGGCGTATCATCGGTGGGTTAAATGTCAGAAGCGCCTGTCGTGACGGGCGTCGGGAAGGGCCCGTCGGGAAGGGCAGTCGGGGAGGGCCCGTCGGGAAGGGCCGTCGGGAAGGGTTCGATCCAAAACAGCAAGTGACGGGAAAGGCCGTCGGAACAGGCCGTCGGGGAGGGTGACGGGGGATTGTCCTACCCCCCTGGCGGCTCCCCCCTGGGGATGCTGGAACCAGCGCATCGCTCGAGACATCCTCGCGATCTGCTGGGCGCGTTTATATTGTAGGTGGCTACGCAATGCCATGTTATGGTATTGTGTTGTGGTATGCCATGGTATGTTACATATCCTACGGTGTTAGGAAACGCTATGCCATGCTATTGTTTAGGTGATGATGATATGATGTTTCTATTGGCCGTGCTATGCCGTGTACCGCTATCATGAGTAGATGCGGCCCTGGTGCATCGATCAGATAATTGAGTTTTACAAAAGGATTTTTTGATAATTCCAAAAGTATTTTTGGAGTATTTTAACATAAGTGTCCAAAGTGCATTCTGGGAGTATTTTTGGGATATTTTCAGCTTTTCAGTATTTTGCAGAACTGAGCGGATCGGAACTATATAAGCTTAGGAATTGGTTACAATATTTCACCAGCGTAAATGGAGATGGGCTGGGCGAGTTGCTACACAGCCACACCACAGTTGGGCCCGATTGGCGGCGGCATGGGAACCTGATATCCATGACCCCCGGTCAGCACGACGCCGACAAGGCGGGCAGCGAAAACGGCGGAGTGACGACATCACAGAATTTCTACAGAAGGCTTTGCTTTGAAACGCACCCGCCACATGGCTACAGAGTGCAACAACTTCCAAATTATGGGCAGACATCGAAGGCGACTTCGTGAAGTTCACATGCTTGCGACTGGGCTCCGGCCCGCCCGTGCCGCCCCTCTGGGGCTTGCTGGCCCGCCGGCCGGCGGACCCGCGCGTCTGCGTTTGCGTCTGCGTCTGCGTCCTCCTCCTCCTCCTCCTCATCCCCCTCCTCCCCCTTCTCCTCATCCTCGTCCTCCTCCGCTTCCTCCTGCTCCGCCGAAGAACTAAATAGCTTCAGGCCGCTGGTTCATCTCATCACATCACCTCTTACTCCTGCTCCACCTCCTTTTCCTCCTCCTCCTGCTCCTCCTTCCCTGTCTCCTCCTCCTCCACCATTCCCTTTTCCTTATCAATAACTTCTCCCTGTCGCACCCCGAGGCCAGTTTTTAGGGCGAACTGGGCGTTTCGCATGAGACTTCCTCATCAGCTATGATTTTGAAGCTTAAGAATTGGCAACAGCTTCGCAGATGGAGGGCGGGTGGTTTTCGAAATGTGGCTCTCGCATTGGCGCTGCGCGCATTCTTTGGAAACATTTGCAAGAGCTTCGCGGATTGAGGGTGGTTCCTTTTCAAAATGTGGCTTTCGCCTTAGCGCGGCGCACAATCGGTTTAAAACATTGCAAGGGCTTCACGGATTGAGGGCGGGTCGTTTTCGAAATGTGGTTCTCGTCTTAGCGCGGCGCACATTCGTATGAAACACTTGCAAGAGCTTCACGGATTGAGGGTGGCTCCTCTTCAAAATGTGGCTCTCGCCCGAGCGCGGCGCACATTCGTTTCAAAATTTGGCAAGAGCTTCACTGATTGAGGGCGGGTGGTTTTCGAAATGTGGTTTTCATTTTCAGCGCGGCGCACACTCGTATTAAACATATGCAAGAGCTTCACGGATTGAGGTTGGTTCCTTTTCGAATGTGGTTCTCGCTTCAGCGCTGCGCACATTCGTTTAGAAACATTGCAAGAATTTCACGGGTTGAGGGCGGGTGATTTTCAACATATGGTTCTCGCCTCAGCGCGACGCACACTCGGCGTAAAGTATTGAAAGAGTGCCATGGGTTCCCAGCATCAACGTACCAGAAATTGTGTTTTGAGCAGATTCAGGGCTACGCGGGCGCAACAGTTACGTTGGCTCTCCGTATTGAAATCCCACGAATGGCGTTCTGGTATGATTCTGGATCGTCAACACGCAACAGTCAGGTTGATCCGTGGCGTTGTCATCCCGAGAACAATGTTTTAGCATGTTGCAGGTCTTCAAACGGTTGTCTTCCAACAAGGCAGTTCCCTGAATGGACATGAACCGTTGTAGGGGCCTATGAAGAGGGAGCTTGGAGGCAGGGTCCATCCCGACATCGTTGATGCCTCTTGGGTTTACACTGGTCCTCCTCCTCCTCCTCCTTAATCACTCTTCCTTGATCCTTAATCCTTATGAACAACTTCTTGCAGCACCCCGAGGCCGGTCGAAAGGGCGGGCTGGGCGCTCCGCTTGAGTCATCTTAACCACTTCCGAGACTGAAGAAAGAAACGTGCAACAGTTGGACGAAAGGCGGCCCACTTTCAAACTGCGGCTGTCGCTTTAGCGCCGCGCGCACTCGTTTCAAAAAGTTGCGTAGGGCGGCCCGCTTTCAAATTGTCGCTCTCGCCGTAGCGCCGAACGCACTCATCCAAAACAAGTGCAAGAACTTCGCGGATAGAGCGCGGTTCGCTTTCAAAATGTGGCGTTCGCTTTTTCAACATGTGACTATCCGCCTTAGCGTCGCGCACATTCGTCGCAAGTGTTTGTGAGCGCTCTTCCCTCCCCAAGGTAGCGCCATACCTCCCCCTGGTAGCGCGAATGATCGTGTTGGGGGGGTTGGCCGGCATGGACTCCCCGCGCATGTTTTGGTGCACACAGGCGATTGATGTGCCGGTGGCGCGGACTCACCATGGCGGGTGGACACCGCGGCCGCTGTTACGGCTACCCTTCCGCCCCCCGCCCCGGGTAACGACCAATACCCAGGAAAGAAAAAAATTCACCTTGCTATCACTTCAAGGGTTTTCAGGGCTAGCGTCCCAGAAATGGTGTTCTGGCACGATTTCGGAATGCCAGGGCGCAACATTCATTGTGATTCGCGGTGTGGATGTTCCGAGATTGCGTTCTGGCGCGGTTCAGGATCGTCAAGACGCAACCGTAACAGTGATTCGTGGCATTGAAGTTCCAGGAGTGGTGTGCTCGCACAGTTCCGCATTTTCAAACGGTTGTCTTCCAACGGGGCAGTTGCCTCGGTGAAAATGAATCTTTGTAGGGACCTATGACGAGGGAGCTCGGAGGAAGGGTTTACTGCAATATCGTTGATGAGTCTTAGGTTGACACTGGTCCTCCTCCCTGTACACCTACTCCTCCTACTTCTCCTCCTCCTCCTCCTCCTCCTCCTCTTCCCCCTTTCTCGTCGGCGTTTCTCCTCCCTCGTCTTTCCTTGTCCTCACTTCCTTCATCCCTCCTCATTTCTCGTCCACCTTCCTCCCTCCCCTCCCCGGCCCCCGTTCGGGGGGGGGGGTCTTTTTCCAGAGACCCGAAGCTCCGAACAAAAATCGAAGCGGTCGGTTTGAGCCCGTTTTCGGCTTCCGTGGGCCCTCAACGGGCCCAGGTACTGACCCAGGACGAAACACCGGCCCCAGGGAACTGGTCCAGACCTCTGGGTGTCCGCGCATCTAAGAAATTGGAGCGCCGGATGTCAGGGCTCGTCGTGGTCGTCGCTCGTCGTCGTCGTCATCGTCATCGTCGTCGTTCGTCTTCGTTCGTCGTGGTCGTCCTTGCTGTCGTTCTCGTCGTCCATGCCGTTCCCGTCCTCCCTGTTCCTATCGTCGGCGTCGTCATTGCTGCCGTTCGAGGATCGAGATTCCAGGTTTGAATAGTTTCGGACGTTCTTGGCCCCTGCCGGGACTCCAGAATCGGGTCGGGCGAAATTGATTGTTTCTATGCATTGAGCCATCGTTTAGGGATAGCGACGCGACCAACAGGAAGAAGTATCACACAATCCCCCAAGCAGAGGGCAGTGCCGAAAATTTGAGGAGCATCCCAGATACCTCAAGCGAATACCTGCAGGCAGTAGGAACACACACACACACACTGCGCAGGCACAGGAAGGCGGGCCCCCGCAGCCACGGGCTTTACAAAGCTGAACGTCCCCATCAACCGGCGCACGCACGGCAGATCGCATCCCAAACGGATTGTGCGTTCCTTCCCGCCTGCCGTACAGTGACGAATGCGACAGAGCCAGGCACCATGCACGGCACCGCTCGTTGAGATATAAGCGTGCACAGTGTGGGCTGCAAGAACAGTGCCCACCCTTCCCGCACTTAACGATCCGAGCAGCGTAGCTGATGACGGTAAGCGCACTTTCCGCCTCCCCTCCTCGCTCCGCAGCGACGTGCACCACCCACTGCGATTGCCTGCCGTTCTCGCACGCGCTGGCAGGGCGTTGTAGCGCAAGCCCTCGAGCGAGTGCCACTGTGACACTGTAGGTGAGTACGTGCCGAGGGGTCCCGCCGCTGGTCCGTCCATCCCAATCGCTGTTGGCGGGGAGCGTGGGTGTCCTGGAAGGCTGCCTCCATCAAAGCTTCTGGTACACCAGGTAAAAATACTTCCCGTGCCGACATATGCGTGACAAGAGAACCAACAAACGGCACAGTTTCTGAAACTCCGAATGAGTCGAATGGACAGGATCGACCACCGCTTGCACCAAAAGCAACCCATTGCGGAGCCACCATGTAAGAATGGTGTGATTGATTCTCCCATGTGTGCGCCGTTGCCCAAGACTGCAATATACCAGAAAACGAAGCATCGATTGAGTTGACCCCGCTCAGCCATCAGGATCGGCTGCGCTCGTGGCGCGGACGACCCGATGCCCCTCAAACGCTACGTGGGAGCGCAGGGCGCGGCTCCATGACGCGTTCGAGCCAAAGGGTTCTACGCGCCTTTGGCCGCATGGGCTTGAGGCAGGGTCGGGCGAAAGGGAGGGGTTAGGGGAAGGGAGGCTACGAAACATGCTGCATGCAGCTGGTTTCGCCCCGCCCCCCATCCCCCTCCCCGGGCGCCTTCCTCGGATGCTGGCGGCCCAGGGGGTCCAGACGCCCGGACACTCTGAGGGGAAGGGAGGAGTGAGGAGGGGGGAGGGAGGAGGAGGGGGAGGAGGAGGATAATGAGAGGGAGTGGGGGAAAAGGAGCAGGAAGAGGAGGAGGTAGAGGAGGAGGAAGGAAGGAAGCTTGCATTGCCACTGCTGATGTGCGCCGAGAGCTGTTCTTCTCAGGCGAGGTGGCCGCAAATCATTTCGCATGGACAGGAGTCGCTGCATATGATGCCCACACATTAACTAATGAACATAACGAGCATGGCAAGTCGAAGTATGAGTACCGCGTTTATTCCCGCTAAGCGGCCGTCGCGAGGAGCTCTACGATCTTGTCGTTGTAACAGTTTGAGATGTGAACTGGTGGAGCTGCTCTCCGTACGCACAAACGGGGTAAACCTTGTTCCACGCAGTACGGGAACTACTCTGCAGTGTCGTGTGGCTCTTCTGCTTCTCCCATCGGGCGGTCCTTCCGTTGCCATGTCCAGGACGCAGTCGTCGTGATTCCTCGAAGACGATCGTCCCTTTGAAGATGAGATGTGCACACAAGATGGCGGAGTTTCTGGCCCGTTTCCGCGAACGCCTCGGTGTGACGGGAGCCCAGAAAGATGACAAGAAAAGGTGTTAGGCCCCTGGAAAGGAACCTGGAGAAGCAAGCCGTTCCGTCGCCGTTAAACTCGGTTCCCGTCCCCTTTCATGAGTGAAGTCAAGAGGGAGCCTGCCCCTGACCGCATCCACTTCGGGAGCTCGGGGCCGTATCTCTGCGAAGAGGGCTCGACGAGCAATGCCGTGAAGCGTGCTTGAGACTCCTGCTTGGATGCCTGTCGCCTGACCGTTTTCAGACGAGGCGAAACATTGCCGAGGACCTCATGGAGGCCTTCAGACCCTTGCGGCAGTGGTGTCTACGACTTGCACGATGGCGGCCAGGTGCAATGTATATCGCTTGAGGGAGATTTTCAGTGCGGGGTGCTACGAGTACGTCGGAGAGGGCACTGGCGCCCGATGCCACAACGGCCAGTCACGCGACTTCTCTCGTGACCCCGATTTCACCCACTGGACCGACGACGCCATCGATGCGGACGGAGCCCGACAACACCGACCATGAGGGACAGCAGTTGTAGAACACGGGAAAGGGGAGGGGAGGGGGAACAGGAGGTAGCAATGAGTTGGCATGAGCGTCAATCGGGAAGAGGAGGAGGAGGAGGAGGAGGAGGAGGAGGAGGAAGAGGAGGAGGAGAAGGAGCAAGAGAGGAGGAGGAGGAGTAAGAGGAGGAGGAGGAGGAGGAGGAGGAGGAGGAGGAGAAAAATAATGCTCTGATCGTGGGGCTACGTCTGGTTTAGTCACACTGGTTCGCCCCGCGCCTTTCTCGACGCTTTTAGGCGTGCGGGATGTTCGATCAGCATTGTTGCCACTTCCTCCCGGAGATCCATGCGACGACGCCGTCTTTCCCGCTGTTGAACTGTGCGACTCTATTGCCAAGGGGGGCGACGACGACGACGGCGGCCGCGACGACGACGACGACGACCCTGACGTGGGTCATAGTCCTCAGGGATGCTTCCTGGGGCATCTTCGGAGCGCTCTCGGGGGCTTCTGCGGGGCTGCTTGAGGACCTCTTGGGAGCCAGTTGGGGGCCTCTGCGGAGCCTCCCAGGGACCTCTTGTGGCTTACGGGGGCCGCTTGTGGGCCTCTTGGGACCCTCTTGAGTCTTTCTGGGAGCCTCTCGGGGCAAGTCCGTTCGGGCCCCCCATCTGAGCACCCTCTTGGAGCTGTCTCGGTGGCCTCTTGGGCCGTCTTGGAGGCCCCTGGGGCCGACTTGGGGCCCTCTTGGGTCGTTTAGGGGCCCTCTTTGAGACCTTTTGGGCCGTCTTGGGGCGATCTTGGGGACCTCTTGGGCCGTCTTGAAGCGTCGGGAAGCCGAAAAAGCGAGAACGCCACAGTCTGCCAAAAACCCGTGGAAAATGAATTCAGTTTGCCTCTTGGAGCCCTCTTTGGAGTGCTCTTGGAGACCTTTTGGGTCGTCTTGGAGGCCTCTTTGGCCGTCTGGAGGCTAGCTTCGGCGTCGTAGACTGTCCTGGGGCCTCTCGGGGCACTCTTTGCTAGTTTTGGGTCCTTTTTGGGTTCTGGACCCTTCGGGGGGGATTGCATTCTGACCCAGGACCTCCTTCAACACCCCCCTCAGAACCCCTCTCGGGACCCCCCTCCACCCGGCGGGGAAGGCATCAAAGGGACCGTTGCGTTGTGCGACTCTATTTCCTTCTCTTCCTCGTCCAACCCCACTTCCCTCTCTCCCTGCCCACTCCCCATCTTTTGCCCGCTCACCCCCTCCTTTGTCCTGTCGAGTCGCTCGCTTGGGATTCTTCGCTCGGTTGGGCGCCCTCCTTCTCCTCCTCCACCTCCTTGCGCACGTCGGGATGAGGTTGGGCTGGCGAGCCGTTGAACAGGATCCTCGCGGCCACCAGGGTGGCGAGCACCACGTTCGTGGAGGGCGGCTGGGGGGTCGGGGAGGAGAAGGGAGTCGGACTTAGAGGACGAGGTGAGAGGAGTAAGAGAAATAGGAGGAAGAGGAGGAGGAGGAGGAGGAGGAAGGGGAGAAGTGGGGGAACGGGAAGGAGCAGGGAGGAGGAGGAGGAGGAGGAGGAGGAGGAGGAGGAGGAGGAGGAGGAGGAGACCGTGAAGGTGAAAGGGGGAGGAGGAATAGGAGGAGGAGGAGGAGGAGGAGGAGGAGGAGGAGGCAGTGCTGACAGCTGCGTTTGTGTTCATTGCTTGGTTGAGCTCTTACCAGCAGCAAGTACCGGCGGGTCGGGCTCAGGTCGTCTCCACCTCATCGGATCAGCACCCCAGTTGCCAGTGCCGACGGAAATGTGCAGATCGACCAGCTGGGTGGCCAGACTGCGTCCCACACAGCCAGGGCGTGGACGCACGGTCGCGAGCTCAGCACCACGGAGGACCACGGCGCGAAGACCAGGTCACGTCCTTCCAGTGTTCGCTCCAGCGGCCTTGCACCCGCCCGCCCCCGAGCTCCAGGACACGCGCAGCCACGGCCATCGGAGAAACGGCCTGCGGCTGCGCGGCTGCGGCGGCGGCTGCGGCTGCGGGCCGGGGAGGAAGACCCTGGTCCCGGGGCAGCGAGTGCCGAGCGGAGCGTCCTCCTTCAGAAGCCGCTCGGCAGCCGGCTCGGGTCCTGCGCGCGGTGCGGCCGAGCGGGGCCACGCCGGCGGGCCGCGTGCGGGTCGGCCGTGCAGGAGGCCAGCGGCGAGCTCGGTCTCGGGCCTTCTGTTCGCTGTCCCTGTCTGTGCGGTGCTGCTCGCTGAGTCAGGAGGGGGAGAAAGACACAGACACACACATGAACGTCGATATCCATAAAACCATGGGAGGACGTGTGACACGGAGGGGGAAGACGAGCGTCTGCAACATGGTAGATACTGATACGGACTCTTGGAACTTGAGGGAGTCATCGACCCATCGCGAGTGCGTACCAGGTGGGACCAAAGTGGGCCCTGATCCACAGTGGGACCAGGGGGCGGGCCTGGAGGATCGTGGGGAGGGCGTGGGGGCCCGTACTACCTCGCGTCCTGCGTCTCCTGGGCCAGCACCGCCCTCTTTAGCGCTGCGGCCATCGCGGGCTGCTCGTCCTCCACCGCGTCCAGCTGGGCCTTCGGGAGCTCGTGGCTCCAAATCGGGCCCTCCTCCAAAAGCGTATCGGGGGCCCGAGACGAGGCTGAAGTGGAGTGGTGGTCGGGGCATGATTATGATTGCCAGCGTTGCCCCCGTTCACCAGGTCTCAGCCAAGACCCTCAGGATGCGGCGAAGCTAGCAGGAACAAGCATTTCGTACGGGTTGTTGGGTGCCGTCGCCATGTATGCGCGGACGCTCATCCTCTTATTCTCCTTCCTCCGGTTTCATCTCCACATCCTCCTTCGCCTGCTCCTCCGTTTCGTCATCCTACCCTCGTACGGTCGGCTGGAGCGGCCGATAGTTACTCCACCGAGCAGGCGTTTCATGATAGGCGAGATGCAGAGGTCCAGCAGACAGCGGGCCGGAAGGCGCGCCCCGGAGGAGAAAACATGACAAATGATGGGGGGAGGTGGGGGATGGCTGAGGAGCCAGAGGAGGAGGAGGAGGAGAAGGAGGAGAAGGAGGAGGAGGAGGAGGAGGAGGAGGAGGAGGAGAGGAGGAGGAGGAGGGAGGAGGAGGAGGAGAGGAGGAGGAGGAGGAGGAGGAAAAGGGATGAGGCAGGATATTGAAAAAAGAGGGGGGAAGAGGGGGATGGGGGAGGAAGAGGGAAGGAGGCCAAAGAGAAGGAGTATGAAGAGGAGGAGCAGGAAGAGGCGGAGGAGGAGAAGGAAGGAGGACGAGGAGGAGGAGGAGGAGGAGGAGGAGGAGGAGGAGGAGGATAAGGATGAAATGGAGGAGGAGGAAGGAGGAGGAGGAGGAGGAGGGTCGCGGGACATTGGCGTGAGTGTTGCGCATCGCTATGCTGAGCGGGTAGTGGGCGAACGCGTCCCAGGGTTGCGTCGCGAACGTGTCGAGTCGCCGCGTCGCGTCTGCACGCAGCGAGGCTGCTCCCGCGTGACGGGCGAGGAGGAGGGGAGGGAGAGGCGGAGGAGGAGCAGAAGCACATGATGAGCTGGGTGGAGCACACCGGCCCTCGCATCCTCGGAGGCGGTCTTCGAAAAGGCGGGTAGGGCGCACGAGCACGGCGAGGACGGAGGCCGGCGAGGGAAGCGGCACCAGCAGCACGAGGAGCGGGCACGGGAGCAGGGAGCGGGAGGCGCCGAGGTGCCCGTCGGCGCACGCCGGCGGGAGCAGGGGCAGGGCCCAGGCCCAGGGAAGCGAGAGAGGTCGCCGTGGAGGAGACGGGTCCCCGTGGGAGGGTAAAACGACGCGAAGATCGGGACAACATCGGATCGGGATGACTCGAACTCTCTGAGAATCGGTGGGTTTGGAGGATGTGTTGGGCGCCGCGGCCGCTCTCAGAGCGTTCCGGAACGCTCTGAGAGCGCTCCGGGACGCTCTGGAGCGATTTATCCCGATCCAAGCCCTGTTTTATCACACGCCACCCGAAGAAACCGACCCATGTCTTTGGATTAGCCTTGTGCAAAGCAAGCGCTTCTGAAATCATTGAGCATGGGGAATGTATTCACCATAGGGCTGGTCCAAGATATCCTAGCCCTGTTTTAGGAGGACGGGTCCCGAGGTTTTTGTCCCCGCTTCTGGACTCTCGGGGCTCTCCGCGGGCCCAGGGGGTAGCAGACCACGAGTCCGGAGGAAGAGCTCGGCCTCGGGGAGGGCACCAGGGTCAAGGGCCCGCTTCCCTGGGGACCCGCCGCCCCCCTGTTGAATATCAGTGAGGTCTCCCTCAATGGCAGCAGTGGTTTCCCAGCCGCCGCTGCCGTGTCCTTTTTCACCCGGCGGTGCGGGCGTTGAGCTCCAAAAAAGCATGCTGAAGGCTCGAGGTCGCCGGAGCTCGGGTCTGCCGGTGCTTCTGGCCAGCCCATCTTGGGAGGTTTTGGCAGTCCGAGTCGTGGGATGTCTGCAGCGGGAGGTCGCGTCACATTTCAGACTGGGTCTCGCCATTTTTCTGACGGCCCCGCCAGGCCAACCCGAGTCCCCCGAACCCGAGTCTTTTGTCTCTTCGACCAGAGGGGTGGTGGGAGCGACGAGGAGGTTCGCGTCGCGTCGTGTCGACGCGGCAGCGACCCTGCTGCGGACGTTCGGGGTTGAACTCCGCCGGTGGCCCGCAGTCGGCCGCTACCGAGCGACCCACGAGCCGCAATCGTGCAGGGCTGCCTGAGGTTGCTAGAGGTGCCCCGGGCGCCCACGGTGCCCCAAACTTCCCGCTCCATCTTGGAGCCCCTGGGGCCCTCTGGGCGCTTCGTGAGGGGTGCTCTGGGGGCCGTGAGGGCCTCCATGGACATCCTGGGGGCACCTTGGGCCAGGGGCACTTTTCAGCAACACCCGTGGTTGAACGATCCACGCGGTGCCGGAAACCAGCGCGCCATCTCCACTGCATGAGCTTGCCGCGGCCGGCCCCCATAGGCAGCGGCAGCAGCAGCTCCACTCCTGCTCCCCGCTCCCGCTCTCCGGAGCTGGACGGGGAGAGGGGGAGGGAGCATGAGGAGGAGGAGGAGGAGGAGGAGGAGGAGGAGGAGGAGGAGGAGGACGCAGGATGGGGAGGAGGACGCAGGAGGGGGAGGAGGACGCAGGAGGGGGAGGAGGACGCAGGAGGGGGAGGAGGAGGAGGCGGCAGAGGAAGCGGAGGAGGACGAGGAGGAGCAGGAGCAGGAGAGGGCGCGGTGGATGAGGGGGAGGGCGGGGGGGGGGTAAGGGAGGGTCGGAGGAGGGACAGGTACCGATACCCTTCTTGGGAGGCCCTCGCCGCCACCGCCAGATTCGCTTCGAACATCCGGTCAGACTGCACCCCGGGAGAGGTCCGGGGAGCAGCGATGTCCGCACCGTTCTCGGTTTCCCCAGGAGGCCGGGCTGGACGGGAGGGAGCGAGCGGAGTGGGGAGGTCGGGGAGGGCCAGGCGGAGGACCTGCTGGTGACTCCTGGCTCGAGCTCCGTTGCCCCAGGGTTGCAGGGCCCCCCGGAGGCTCTGCGCCGCGGCCCGCCGTTCGGCGCGCGAGGCCCGGCAGCGCTGGGATAGTCCCGGGGCGCGGGGCGGCATGGCCGCGGAGGGCGAGCGGGCGACCTCTTGGCAGAAATGCCGGTCGCCTCAGACCTAGTCCACCCCCCGAAAAGAGAAGCAAATTTCGATCAGGGAATCGATTACAGACTTCTGACTTACCCCCACATTAGTTCTTGTTCCCCAAACCCATTGAAGATGTACCGTTTTTTCGGGGGGTAATCCGATTCGAGGAAGTCCATGTGGGAGCACATAGATTATGTAATCGATCCCTTTCGGAACTGGCATAAGCATGCATGTTCGGAGATCCGCGCGGATTCCTCGGACCGTCCACGAAATTCGAATTCGTTGAAATTGACCAGAGGAAGCAAATGTTTACCCTTTTATTCGGGTGTAGGGATGTCGATATAAAGTTGGCCTCGGCCGGCGTAGCACATTCGTGTGTGATGTTTTGCAGCGCGTTGCTTGATAGTCCATGGGATTCGTCTGCCTCCCATGCCTCCCCCCTCTCCCCTGCCCCCCTTGCAACGGTTTAAGACGAGCGCGCGTGGCGGTAGGGGAGCGTAGGGCGGCGTAGTGTAGCGTAGGGTCGCCCAGGGGAGCGTGGGGGAGCGTAGGGGAGCGCAAGGGAACGCAGGATAGCGCAGGGGGGGAGACGCGCAGGGGAACACAGGGAAGCGCAGGGGAGCGCAAGGGAGCGAAGGGGAGCATAGGGGGACGCAGGGAGGCGCAAGGGAGCGCAAGTGGAGCGCAGGGGTGCGGAGGGGAGAGTAGGGGAGCGTTTCTAAATTTGGAGGAAAATTCTTTTCTGACACGGGATCCCTCCTAGCTGTCAAAACTCTTGGTTAAATTCATCTTTCACCCCAATGTCTCTAACATTCTAAATTACGTTTTAACTTTTCTCTACCTCGCGATCCGTTCTAATTCTTCAAAGTCTTGTTGACATTCCTCCTTCATTCGGAATCCTCTTTAACTCTTTAAAGTGTTGTTCAAATTCTTCTCTGGTTCGGAATCCTTCTGTTGTTTTCCCTTCTACCTTCTCCCTAGTTAGCTGTTTAGCTCTCCAGCTGTTTTCCCTTCTACCTTGTAGTCCTTTCTAATTCGCAAAATGCTAGTTTAAATTCCTCTCTAACTCGGAATCGTCTTTCCCTCGGAACTATTGCAAAACATGTTCCTCTACGTCAGAACGCTCTTTAGTTATCACTTTTTTGTACAAATGCCTCTCTAGCCCAGAATATTCTCGAACTGTTAAAAATTCGTGTTCAAAATCTTGCCTAAATCGGGACCACCTTTAATTTTCAAACTGCTGGTTTATTTTCATCTCCGACAGGGAATCCTTTCTAACTCTTTATGTTAGTGTTGGGATTCCTCTCTAACTCGGAATTCTCTTCAACCCTCGAAAGTATCGTTCTAATTCCTTTCTAGATCGGGTTCCTCTCGAACCCTTCTCGGTGGAATTCCTCTCTAGCTCGGAATCGCATCGGATTCCCCAACTTCATGTTTCAATTCCTTTTCTGAATCGGAAACCCTTGTAATTCTTTAAAACATTGTTGACATCGCTTTCTCGTTTACATTCTTCTCAAACTCGGAGTCCCCTTTAACTCTTCCAAAGTACCGCTTGAATTCCCATGTGGCCCGGAATCCTATCGAATTGCCCAAATTATTGTTCAAAGTATTCTCTAATTCGGAATCTTCTCTAACTCTCCATCTGTTGTTTTGAATTCTTCTCTGCCTCGGAATCTTCTCAACTCCCCAAATCACTGTTAACATTCATCTCTCACTCGGAATGCTCTCTAACTCCTCCGCATGTTTTAAAAATGATTCTTTAACTCGGGATCCATTCTCAGCAATCTTATTTCAAATTCGTCTAACTTGGAATCCTTTCTAACTTTCATATATATGTGTGTGTATAGTATGAAGCTTCTTCTCTGTGTCAAAATCTTTCAACGTATGGTGCGAATTCCTCCCGAACTCAGAATCCTCTCTAACATTCTAAATGTTGTTGACATTCCTCTCTAGCTCAGAGTCCCCTCTAACTCTCCGAAGTCTTTTTGGAATTCTTCTCTAACTCGGTCTCCTCGCTGACGTTCCAATTTCTCACTTCGAATGTTTCTCTCATTCGGAACCCTCTCTAACACTCCAAATTCTTATTTCCTCGAAGCCGGGATCGTCTTTAACCCTTCTAACATTCAGAGTCCGCTTGGACCGCGGCGCGCGGGCCACGTCGCATCTGCAGCATGCCCACCGGGAATACTTATTAACCGTAGCACCGACATTGCAGCTGCAGCGCTAATCGCTCAGCAAATTCAGAATGCTTTTTTTTCCTGAAGAGTACAGTATCATCATGTTGCTTTTCTGCTATCTTTCTTCTCCCTCCGTTAATTTCCGCTTGCCGCGCGGCGCTCGCAGCTGCATTGGGTTGTGTCCTTCGCCGGGTGCCTTCTCCCTCTCGGTGAGAGGGGCCCATTGGCGCGCGCGCGCGTTGGGGGCCTGTCACTCCCCCCCGAGGAGATTGCGCACAGTGGGTGCTTTAGCCAGTTTGAGAGCGGCGTTCTTCTGAAGACGGTTGCTCTGCATCTGCTGAAATGCCGTTCCGCGCACATCGACGCTTGCTGGCGGTCGCCCAGGCAATCGTTCGCGACGGATGCGATGCGTCCAGGGTGTCTTGTAAGCAAGTGCTCGCGATCCATTACCAGTCGGGTGGAACGACTACAGCCACGCCAATAGCGGCGCTGGCATATCAAAGCGCCCTTATGGATCGGTCGGCTGCCCTGGCCAATCTGGGCGCCGCAGCATTGCGCCGGCGAGGCGCCAGGGGCAAAACTCGTCTCCGCAAGCCTGCAGGCGCAGCGACGAAGGCGCACTGCATCGCGCCGTTTGCCAGTTCGTTTCAAAATGTACCCTTCTGGGCAACTGCCATCTGGCAGTCGTGCCAAATCGACGGGCCGGGCCCGTCGACGCCGCGGTGCTGGGATCAGGAAAAAGGGCGGCATTTCAATTGGGATGCGCCCGCGGCTCGGTCTACGTGGGTCCTCGACGCTGCTTTGCGGCGCGCGCGCGTTGATTTTAGCAGCTGGCGCAGACCGGGCAACTTGTTCACTTTTTTGGCACTTGCTTCATAGAGGTTCCAGGGTTCTGTTTGTTCAGAGATCCGCCACATCGCATAAGCAACTGCTAGATTAATAGTATGGGAGCATGTAAAAGAAATTGCCTGGTCACATGTGACACGCTGCTTCTACGTCGGTTTCGCAGGGCGCCCTCTGCGAGTGGCAAGAACTGGAGGGAACTGAAAGAGACAATCAGCATAGTCATTGACTCTGGTGCGTCTCACTCTATCTTGAAGGACCTCGCCCTCGAGATCGCGCGCGACGCGAATGAGGCTGCCGACCCCCTATTGGACAGCGCTGAAGCAATGCGCCTTGTTCTGATCAGTTTTACAAGGCGCGGCCGGGGCCTCGCGTAGACGCGCGCCGCCGGTGGGCCAAATGCGACGGGGGCCTCGACATCGACGGGCTCTGGCATGCCATATTGGCAGCATTCTTGTTCCAGTTTTACACATCTGGCGAAGACCCGTGGTCCGTGATGGCGCAGCACAGGCGTGTCGCAGATGATGGGGGCGAGGCGAGAAAGGGGCTTTCTTCGAAACTTTGACGATGCTGATGCGCGCGTTTAACAAGAACTGTATGCGTTCACAATTCACAATAGATCAACGATTGCGCGACCATCGCAGGCGCTTCATCGAGGCGCATTCCAATCCAGAGGGGCCTCTCCGATTCCATATCGCGTGGCCAGATTGCAGGGGGTAGTCTCATGTGCTTGCCCCAGGTACTTGCATGTCCCACGCATCAGCACGGCACGGGTGTAGCAGTATGTATGTGCAAAGAAAAGTAGGTTGCATGTGTAGAGAGTCTGCGCATGATGCGTTGCTGCTGCATCAGCGGCCGCACGTGCCTACACATGTCGCGAAGTTCAAACAGCTTCAGTCGACAGGCTTCCTTTTTAAGATGCACGGCGAGTTGCATGTTGAGGGATGGGCGATTAACGCGATCGTCGCCGCAACGCAGGGCAGCCTTGCACATGCCCACATGTTTGTTTAGAATGGGCTGTGCGAGCCCGTTCAGGAGTTCGATGTCCCACGTTCTGGAGCATTAGATGAATCCGACGAATTGCAGTTATTCTTATTGGCTCGCACGCGCCAAGCCATGGAATCCCATGCCGCAAACGCCTCCGCGGACATGGGCTAGGCTTCTCAGCGCCAGCCCAGACGCGCTGCAATCGCGTATAGGTGAGGCCGCGCAGGTTTGGGATGCAATGGTTCTGTAGGGGTCGCGCGCAATCCCCGTGCACGCTGGGTTGGCGAAGCAGTTGTTCATTTCAATTGGCGCATCGTCCAGTGGGCCGTTTGATATCTCACAGGCCAACAGTTACCTTCCCAATCGTAATCTCGTCGGGTTACGTGGCAGCGATGCGCCACCACGTGGCGACGTCGTTATCATTGGAGGACACCGCTCAGCTTGCAGCATCGCTTCTGCCCCTGCCAGGCATTCCATGCACTGCATTGCAGTGCGGCGCCCTTGCTTTCATGCGCTCATGAGCAGTAGCTTGTCAACACTGGGTTCGGCATAAAGGGTTGCCATAAACTGATTATGTGACGTTCTCGTCTCCATCGAAAGTTCTGCGCCCCTAAGTTGCGCATGCATGCTTCAACGCGTGTTCGTTGTATTGCGCAGGATGTCGTGTCACTCGCGTCGTGTCGTTGTTGCTGCTGTCGTAGTGCTTTGCACTTCCCTGCTCCAGCCCTACTTTAACGACTGTCGCGACAACGTGCCCCGCAGTGCTAGACATGGAAAGCGGACGAACACTTCTCTTAAGGCATTGGCAATTACACCCTTAAACCACGGCATCCGAGAATGGCGCCCACTGACTTCGAACCTGCAGATGTGGCCGACTTTCCAGATGAGCTGGTTCTGCCCGCCAGCGCGTTCGTTGGCCACCGCAGCAGCACGCCGCCCCTCAGCTATAACCCGCAGAAGCTGGCCACAGCCAGGAGGGCATGGCAGCCAGCAGGTCCAGGTACGTTTGCGTTGGCACAGCGTTTCTTAGTTCGGGTTCTGCTCACCGCTGATGCCCAGTCTTGGGGGCAAGTACGGATGGCCTCGATTTATAGGCAGCACGCAGTAAGTTCAGATACCGATGACAAGTTTTTCAATGTTGCCCTGGTTGCCCCAAACGCATGTGCTTTGCCCGAGCTGCGCGACAATTCTGAAGCTGGGCGTGGATTCGCGCGCAGCGCAGGTAGCATCGCAATAACATCGCGTGCTTTATGAAACCACCGTGCAGGCTTACGCTCACCCGCCCCCCCTACAGTCGAGGCCCTTGAATGCAGTGGCGCGCATGTGCGTCGCATCCCCCGCGTCGTTGCCGCGCCCTCCAACTCGGCTTGCCTGGCGCGGCCTGCGCCCCCCGCCCGCGCGGGGCGGCGGCGCCGGGAGGTGTTCAGGCAGCCAGGGGCGCGCTTGCATGGGGCTGTGGGTCGTTGGATTCGTGGTTCCCCCCGCCATCCTGCGGCGTTGGGTTGTCGCGTTGAAGAGACGGAGCCCCGCGCGCCCTTCCTTCCTCCCCCCCCCTCCTCCTGCTCGCCCCGCTCCTCCCCATCCCCCCTCCTACTCCTCCTCTTCCTTTCCCTCCTTCTCCTCCTCCTCCTCCCCCCCCTCCCCCCCCCCCATCCTCCCCCTCCTCCTCCTCCTCCTCCTCCTCCTCCTCCTCTTCCCCCCCCCCCTCCTCCTCTTCACCTCCTCCACCTCCTCCTCCCCCCCCCCCTCCCCCTCCTCTCCTCCTCCTCCTCCTCCTCTCTCCTCCTCCTCTTCCTCCTCCTCCTCCTCCTCCTCCTCCTCCTCCTCCTCCTCCTCCTCCTCCTCCTTCCGCCTCCTCTCCCCTCCTCCTCCTTCTCCTCCTACCCCTACTGCCCCCCTCCTCCCCGCCCTCCTCCTCCTCCTCCTCCTCCTCCTCCTTCTCTTCCTCCCCCTCTTTCCTCCTCCTTCTCCTTCTCCTCATATTCCCCCTCCTCCTCCTCCACCTCCTCCTCCTCCTCCCCCTCCTCCTCCCTCCTACCCCCCCTCCTCCTTCTGATCCCCCTCCTCTTCCGCCCGCCCCCCACCCCCCCTCCCCCACCCTGCCCTTGCCCCCCGCGCGTCCCCGACGTCGCCTTCGCGACCGCCGTCGCCATCGCCATCGCCGCCGCGACCATGGCCGCCATCATCGCCACCATCGCCATCGCCATCGCCGCCATCATCACAATCATCGCCATTACCTTCGGCGCACTCCTCGCGCGTTTAGTGCCCCCACAGGGGGCCCCACCGACGGCCCCAGTGGCTGCGTTCGCACGCGCCCGCCGCACCAATTTCGGCATACCTCCCACACGTTTCGTGGCCCTATAGGCAGCTCCACCGAAGGCCCCAGCGGCTGGGTTCGCACGCGCCTATCGGCCGACAGGGCGATGGAGCTACATGGCTATAAAGCTATAGGGCAACGCGGTCATAGGGATAGATGGCCATAAGGGAATCGGGTTTTAGGTCCAGAGTACCATAGGGCTATAGGGGCATTGGGCTATAGGGCTGTGGGGCTATAGGCTATATGGCCATGGGGCCATCTGGCCATAGCGCTAAGGGCTGCATGGCCATAGAGATATAGGGCTGTCAGGCGATGAGGCTGTAGGGCTACATGGGTGCAGGGCTATATGGCTCTGGGGCTATAGAGCTATGGGCCTATTGGGCTATGTGCCTAAAGGGCTCTGGGTATAGGGCCCCATGGGGCCGCGGGGCTCTGGGGCGGCGAGGCCGCGGGGCCATGGGGCCGCGGGGTCGCGGGGCCGTGGGCCCATGGGGCTTCACGGCCACAGTAGGGGCGTGGGGCCACAGGGCTATGCACTCAGAACTTGTGCGAAGAGATCTTCTAGTAAGACATGCAGACACAGCGTCGCTGAATAGTTTAACCCTCTTGCGAGAACCAGCTTTGGAATCAAGTTTTCTCTGCGCAAAACGCAGCCCCCAAGCGCGACCGCCCGGCGCCGCCCCCCGGCGCAACCCTCCAGCGCAGACCCCCAGCACAGCCCCCCAGCGCAGCCGCCCAGCGCAATCCTTCAGCCCCCCCCCCCCCCCCTTCTCTCCGCGCGCGCCCCCCTCCCCCCCCTCCGCAGCGCGCGCACCCAGTGCAACTCGGCGCCCCCCCCCCCCTCTCCCCCCCCGGCGCAATCGCCCTCCAGCGCAACCCCGCAGCGCGAGGAGCCACGAACCGCATGAGGGGTGCCGAGGGGGAGCACCGCCGCCGCGCGGGCGGCGCCGCCGCGACCTCGGGCGCCCCCCCCCCCGCCCCTCATCCGGGGCCGCGAGGCGTGCAAGGGGCGCGCCGACGCGCGGCAGACACGCGCAGAGGGGGCGCAGGGGGAGGGAGGGGGGGGGCTTCTGCGCAGAATCTCTGCTTCTCCGAAGGCGCGGGCCTCGCCCGTAAATGCAGGGCCGGCGCATTCAAAGCGCCCCCCCCCTTGCCCCTGCCCCCTTGCGCGCGCTGGCGCCGCCGGGCCGAAACCCAGGCATGCGCGCGTCGCGAACAAGATCGCTGGCTTTTTTTGAAGTTCGTTGCCTCCGGGGGCGGGGGCCCAGACCAGGCCGCCGGGGCCGTCGAGCGACGACTCGGGATGGAAAGCCCGCGCTGGGCACGTGGAGGGTCGGGGCCTCGGGGGCCCGCGCGCTGAACAGATCGCTTCACCGATGCGGGCATGCGCCCAATGCGGGGGCAGACCTTGGGTGGAGCTCCCTGTGGGGCTATAGATGTGCGCGGGGCATGCCGAAACCGGGCGGCGCCGCGATGCGGGCGGCGCCTCCGGTACCTTTGGTGGGGCTCCCTATGGGCCACGGAACGCATGAGTTGCGCGCGCCAAAATGGGGCGGCGCCGCCGTGCGGGCGGCGTCGTTGGGACCCGAGGTGGGGCCCCCTTGCGGGGCCACGAATGGTGCGAAGGGTATGTCAACATGGGTGGCGATGATGGTGACAATAGCGGCGGTGGTGGCGACGATGATGGTGATGGCGACGGTTATGATGGCGACCATGGCGACGCTGATGATGATGGCGATGACGATGGCGACGATGAGTGCTGCTGGTGGGAAGGGGGGATGGTGGCGATGATGATGACGATGTTGATGCTAACAGTAATGAAGATGACGATGGTGATGCTGCTGGTGACGGTGGTGGTGATGGCGATGGTGATGGTAATGGTGTTGATACGGATGGCGACGATGATCATGACGGAGCTGACGATGATTGTGGCGACGGCGATGGCGATGGCGATGGCGGAGGAGGGGGCAGGAGTAGGAATGGGAGGGGGCAGGGGGGGGGAGGGGCGAGTGAGACGCGGGGCGCTGCCCCTTCCGAGCGGGGGCCCAGTGCCGCGCAATGGCATAGGAAAACAGGCGACGATGGCGCGGGCAATGGGGAGGGGAGGGTCATCCACATGACAAGCGCTGCACGGCGAAAAAGGGTGTATGCCGATGAGCAAGGGGAACGCGAGGGCGCCGACAGGCCGGGTAAACGGGGCACGGGGGGGAGCGGGCGAGGCATGGGAGGGGGAGGCGCTCGCCTAGCGAAGGCCCTAACCATATGCAGTCGCGAACACCGCCGCGTGCGCGCCGAACTCGGAGGAGCTCCCTGTAGGGCCGCGAACTGCGTTAGGGCGTGCCAAGCATTGTGCGGCGGGCGCGTGCGGAAGCAGCCTCTGGGGCCGTCGGTGGACTTCCCCATGGGGCCACGAAGCTTGTGAGGGGTGTGCCGATATGTGCGGTGAGCGCGCGCGAACGTGGCCGCGGGGGCCGTCGGTGGGGTGGCCGCCGCGCGGACTGCGCCATTGGGTCATTTGGCGGAGCTCCCTATGGGGCCACGGAGCGCGCGTGGGGCGCGACGAAATGGCGCGGCGCCGCCATGCGGGCGGCGCCGCTGGGACCCCGGGTGTGTCTCAATTTGGGGCAACGAAGCGCGCTCGTGATGCGCCGACATGGAGCGGCGCGGCCACGCGGGCGGCGCCGCTGGGAAGTGGAGCTCCTCATGGGGCCACGAAGCGCCAGAAGGGTGTGCTGAAATAAGGCGGCGGCGCCATGCGGACGGCGCCGCTGGGGCCATGGGTGGAGCTTCCCATGCGCCCGCGAAAAGTGTGAGGGGCGTTCCGAAATGTGGCGGCGCCGCCACGTGGACGGCGCCACTGCGACATCGGGGGCGGGCTCTCTATGGGGCCACGAAGCGCGTGGGGGGCGTGCCGACATGGGGCTGCGCAGCCATGCGGGCGGCGCCATTGCGCTCTGAGGTGGGGCCCCTTGTGGTGCCGCGAAACGCGCGAGGGAAGTGCCGAAATGGGGCGGCGCCGCCCTGCGGGCGGCGCCATGGGGCCGCGAAGTGCGTGAGGCGCGTGCCGAAATTGGGCGGCGCAGCCGCGCTGACGTCGCCACTTGGGCATCAGGTGGGGTCCCCATCATGGGGCCACGAAGCGTGCGATAGGCCCACATGAGGCCGCGATGCGTGCTAGGGGTGTGCTGCAATGTGGCCACCCTGCCACGCGGGCAGCGCCACTGTGACCTTGGCCGTTTATATGGGGCCGCGGCGCGTGTGAGGGGTGCGCCGAAATGGCGAGGCACTGCCGCGCGGGCGACGCCGCTGGCACTTCGGCCGGGGCCCCCGACGGGGCCGCGAAGCGCGCGAGGGGCGTGCCGAAATCTGGCGGCGCCGCCATGCTGGCGGCGTCTCCAGGACCTCAAGCGCCGCCCCCCATGGGGCCACGAGCACGCGGGGGGCGTGTCGACGTGGGGCGGCGCTGTCATGCGGACGGCGCCACTGGCCTCCTAGGTGGGGCCCCCATGGGGCCGCAGCATGTGCGAGGGGCGCGCCGCAATGAGGCGGCGCCGCCATGCTGGCGGCGCCGCCGGGACCTCGGGCGGGGCCCCTCGCAGGGCCACGAAACGCGCGAGAGGTGTGCCGACATGGGGCGGCGCGCCCTGAACGACAGGCGCGCGTTTTCCCATTGGCCTCCTCTTCTTCCCTTTAGTCCTGCATCATCGCTCCTCCCTCCAACTTCCAACCCTCCTCCTCCACCTCCCCCCGTCCTCGTCCTCCTTCATCTTGCCGCAATGCAATGGTCATTCACGGCCCCCTCTTCCTCTTCCTCGTCCACATGTTATCCTTGTGTCTTTTGCTTATCCGCCTTTTTACCTTTGTTCCCTCCCCATCCTCCGCCTATTCCTCCTTCCCCCGCCCCCCCCCTTTCTTCCTCCTCCTCCTCGTCGTCATCCTCCTTCTCTTCCCCTTCCCCTGTCTCCAGTGACCGCGAGCCCCCCTTCCACCGACGCCGCCTCATGCTTCTGCGCTGCCCTCGCCCCATTCCCCCTCCCACGCCCTGCCAGTCCCCCCCCCCCCGCCCACCCCGCACACCCGCCCCCCATCATCTCCCCCTTCCTTCTTCATCCCTCTGTCCTTCGCATCTCCCTCCCCCCCTCCCCTCTCCGCCTTCCCCGCCCCCCCCCCCCCCCCCCCTTCCCGCCCCGCCCGCGCCCCCCTCCCCCCCCCCCCCCCCCCCCCCCCCACCCTCCCCCCCCCCCCCCCCCCCCCCTTCTCCCCAGCGCGCCCCCCCCCCCCCCCCCCCCTCCCCGATCCTTCCTCCTCCCCCCCTCCCCCTTTCCCGATCCCTTCATCCCCCGCCGCGCGCCCCCTTCCACCCCGCTCTGGCCCCTTCCGATTCCCTTGGTCTTGCCCCCGCCGCTAACCCCTTCGCCATCCCCCCCCCCCCCCCTCCTCCTCCTCATTGTGCCCGACCATCCTGCGGCGTTGGGCCCTCGTTTGGAAGAGACGACCCCGCGCGCCCCCCCCCCCCCCCCCACCCCACCCCCACCCCCCCCCGCCCACCCCCCCCCCTTCCGATCCCCCCCCCCTCCCACTCCATCATCGTCATCGTCATCGCCGCCAAGATCAGCATCATCATCATCGCCATGGGCAGCATCACCATCATCACCACTACCATCATGACAGTCACCACATCAACACCACCATTATCATCATCATCGTCCGCATCAGCATCACCAGGAACACCATCGTCATCGTTATCGTCATCGCCATCACCATCAATCGTCGCCGCCGTCATCATCAGCAGCATCAGCCGTAGCCACGTTGGCTCGAGATGATGCGATCAGGGCAGATGTCTGGTCCCATGTGGCTGGCTCTAGCCGTCGCGTCACTTCTTGGGTCAGAGTCCAAATCGACCGAGCTTTCAGCGATGCCTTCGCGGCTACAGCTCTTCCATGCTCATGTCCTTTCCGACGCCCGGACCCCGTGGCCCAATAGGGGGCCCAGCTGCAGCGGGCTCGACCAATGGCGGGGCGCGGCGGCGGCGTTCGAGGTGCCGCGCGCGGCGGCGGCAAAGGTGGCAGCGGAGGCGGACTGCGAGGAGGCGGTCGACCAGGCGCGGGCGACGCAAGTGGCGGAGGGCCCAAGGCCTGGGACTGCCCGAAGTGCGGAGCCAAGAAGAACTGGGGCTCCAGGCGCACTTGCCGCAGCTGCGGATTTGATTGGTGCGGGCAAGGTTATGGCGCAAGCTCGCGGCGGAGCGGCGCGTCGCAACTGGGCGCCAAGGGACGACGCGAGCTCAACCAGTTGCGGAGAAAGGTCGGAAAAGCTTGGAGGCGGCGCACAGGGCGCCCCAGGCGGCGATGCGGGCTCATCAGCAGGAGGAGCGCAGGCACGTGTACCGAAGGACGAACGAGTACCGCGATTTGGAATTCTACGCAGTGAAATCAAGAAGCTCGAAGGTGTCGAGGGGGCATCTGAGATCCTGGCTGCCAAGCGACAGGGGGCGCGGCAGCTGGCCGCGTCTGTCCAGCTCAGCGAGCTGGGGCGCAATCAGAGGAACCAACAGAGCACCGCCGAGGCGCCGGAGCGGACGATCGCGACCGCCGCGCAGGAGATCGAGAGCATCCAGGCAGAGAAGCGCGAGTTGGAGGGCAAGCGCGAGCAGAGCAAGGCCACGGAGAAGGAGCTGCAGGCCCTCATCGACAACCTCTTGGCCAGGCACAAGCGCGAGCACGAGGGTGCTGCGCGCGAAGGGTGGCTCGGCGCAGGCGACGGGCCTGCCGCGCCCCCATCCCCTGCGGCAGCACTCAGCGAGGGCGAGCGCGCCGCTGCCTTCCTATCGGCGCGCGACAGAGCCCCAGGCATGGTCAACAGGGGGCACGCACAGCAATGGGAGCAGCAAGTTGCGCCTCTGCAGGAGCTGCAGCGGAACGCGACAGCGGCGACGAGCAGGAGCTCGAGGAGGAAGATGTCAGCAACATGCTGGACAGCATGGAGGAGGAGGCAGTCGAGGAGGTCAGCGCAGCGACAGCAGGCGCAGGCAGCGGCGGAGATGGCGAAGGAGCACAGCCCGAGGACCCCGCGGCCCAGGCAGCCGCCGAGCGCAAGCTTCGGGCCCAGAAGCTCCTCCAGGGGCCCCGCGCCGCGGGGCTCGAGCGGAGGGGGGAGCGCGGGTGGCAGCCCGCCTTTCACGGTGGCGAGCCTCAACGGAAGCGGTTGGGGCCCCTTCGCCACCCTCCTCGGCGAGCAGCAGGAACCCCGGCAGTGCGCCGTGGCGCAGGAGCATTTCGGGGACGCGCTCTGTTTCCAGGAGCACCACCTCAACGGGTGCCGCGCCGTGGAGCAGGAGCAGCGGCGCAGGCAGGCTGGCTGGGGCGCAGTGCTGACCCCTGGGGTCGCCGCCGAGGGGGCTTCCCAGCATCGCGCGGTCAGCGGCGGCACGGGCGCTGCAGTCCGCCCGACTCAAGGGGCGCGCGGTCGTGGCGAGCGCGGCAACAATCAGAGCTGCCTCGACTCCGACGGCAGAGCGACCGTGGCACGCGCCAACCGTGTGGTGCCAGGTGGTTTCTTGCTCGGCTCAGTGTACATGGGCAACGATGGCGCCGGCGAGGACAGCAAGGTCGTGCTGCAGGACGTCGGGCCCCCCCTAAAACGCACGGGCAAGCCCTGGTCTCTTGCAGGGGGCTGAATCGTCGAGCCCGACCGGTTTCACGAGCGGGCTTGCAACTGGCCGTGCAAGGTGGGGGGCCACGTCGTCGACACGGGCGCGGGCGCATGCCAGCATCCCCTGTCCAAGACGCCGTCCGAGCTCGACTGGTTCATCGTCAGCGCAGAGATGTTGGATAGGGTCGGATAGGGTCGTGGCTTGCAAGCGCCTCGACATAGCGGCCGTGGGGGTGCTCCAACCCGTGCAGGCCACGCATTGGGGCGAGCTCGGCCTCACTGGCCACGGGGGCCTCGGCCAGTCGTGCAGGGTCAGGGGCCCGATGGCGTTCCCCAAACTGCGGCCCCTCAAGCCGCTGCAGGAGAAGCATTGGGACCGCGACTCAGCGCGGGCGCAGATCGACCAGGGCGAGGACTAAGAGGCCATGGCCGACGCCAACCAGGGAATCTGCGCAGGAGTCGAGGACGAGCTCGTCTGGATTCACCAGCTCGGCCCGACGAGGCCGATCCTTACCGAGGACGCGGGGGCCCGCCCAGCTCCAGCTACAGCTCGCAGGCGCGTGGGCGGCCCATCGAGGGCCCCAAGGCCAGCTACAAGGGCAAGCAGCTCATGCACCTGAGCGACGATTTCACCCAGGCGCGGTTCCTCACGGGCGGGCCCGTGCACGGCGGCCGCGGCCAAGATGCGGAAGCCCAGCTCAAGCTAGGCCCTGTCCGTCAGAAGGCGGGGCGTCTGCAGGCCAGGGCGCTCAAGCTCTATAAGCGCGCCCTTGGCCGTCGGGCGCGCAGCTGTGTCTCCAACCCCAGCGACCCCAACTACTTCGAGGACGAGGCCGAGTGGATGGATAAGTGCGAGCCTTACATATTCCGCACGTTGGGGCTACCGACGTACGCCGCCACGGGCCTGGCTCAGGACTTCGAGGGCCGCATGCGCACGGCGCGTGACGCATGCTCGTCGGCATGGTGTCGCGGGGCCCCAGGAAGGGCGGAGCTGGCCCGGCCCCTTCTGCAGCTCGGCACCACCCATCGCGCCGACTGGGAGGAGGAGATCCACAGGACGATTGACAACTACAGGGGGTCCAAGCGCTGGCTTGAGGAGCGGGGCAACTACAACGGGCCCTTTCCTGGCGCTGCGAGCGCCGCCCCTTCCGCCCACGGGGCCCACGGCGACTGGGGGCCCCACCTGGGCCAGCGAAGCGGGCTCGTCAGCCGGCCCCCAGACCGCGCCGCGCACGACATTGGTTGGGGCGCCATCGAGGTCGGGGTGCAAAGAGTGAGGCGGACACACAAGCGCCTGGGCCGAGGCTGGCTCCCCCGCATTCATGCTCCCGACCCGGTCCAGGACCGCGAGGAGTGGGTGGATCTGCGCACGCACTACGCGTTCGCACGCCTCAGCCAGCACGAGAGCGATGGGGCGGCGCAGCAGGAGCAGCGCGAGTGCGCCGAGAGCCCAGAGTCGGGCAGTGAGCTGGGAGCCGCAGCTGCGGATGGGGCCAGCCTGACACCAATCCAGACCCCTGTCAGTTCCTTCGCAGCGCTCGCAGCAGCAGGCGCAGGAGGCCCAGCACTTTCGATCAACTACGCAGTGCCATTTGCGGCCGCTCCATCTACATATTCATCGGGGGCTGGAGCAGGAGCCGCACTCGCGGAGGGTAACAGCGAGACCCCAGGCAAGCCCCCGCAGGCAGTCGAGCACTTGGACGGCTGAGAGGGTGGCGGCAGCGCGAGTGGGCCCAGCACGGCGAGGCCCTTCGCCGAGCACGCAGCCGCCCGCTGGGCACGCGCCGTGGAGCTGTGCGAGGAGGGCTGGGCAGGATCAGCACCTTCTTGCAATGAGTACCACCGCAGCAAGAGCGACCTGGAGTCCAGCAACCCTGGCGCGTGGGTCGTCGCCGAGGACGAGCACTACGGCTACATTCAGGCCGCCGAGCTCTTCATGCGGGAGCACGGTGGCCTGCCGACGGTCTCCAGCGACAGCAGCGACGACGGCAGCGACGGCAGCGAAGGTGCAAGCGGCAGCAGAGGCCGCCTGGGTGCTACAGCGCCGGGCCCCCTTCCACCGCGGGCCTGCCCCTGGGCGCGCAGCGGGCGACGCGTGTCGCACTGGCTGGGGACTGCCCCGAGCTCCTGCCCCTGGAGGAGTGGACGGCACAGGCCAAGGATGAGGCTGAAGCCGACACCCGACGATGCGTTGCATGGCGCCTCTGCTCACGGCCCCGGCCACGTCGAGGTCGTGGCGGCGCAGTGGTCCTCAGGGGCCTGGGGGACGCGCCAGGGCAGCGACCGCTTCCGCCCTCGGCGCCCCCCCGGCGACGCCGAGGCGCTCCCCCGACCCACGGCCGACCGCGTCCGCAGGGCCGCCAAGACTTTCAGGCGCAGCACGGGAGTCGGCAGTGACCGACTCAACCCCAGAAGGGTCGCCGACCTCAGCGACCAGCTCCTCGAGGCCGTCATCGGCTCCGGCATGAAGTGCGAGGAGCTCGGAGGATGGCCCGACGTCATCACCGACTCGCTGGTGGCCGTGCCTCCTTAGCCCCAGGGCGTTCGGCTCATTGGGCTCTTGGGGTGGCTTCCGCGCCTCTGGAGTCGTGTCCGTCAGCCCGATGCGAGGCGACGGGGCTCCCAGATCGACCCAGGCGTAGCGGGCTCCTTTCGGGGCGGCCGAGGGTGCGCGGCCGAGGGAACAGCTGCCGCCCTCATGGACCTCTGGAAGCCATACGAGCCGGTGGATTTGGCGATCATCCAGGAGCGGGGCCTCTTGGCAAGCTACCCGCGGGGGCTCCTCGGCATGGCACTCGCGCTCTACTCTGGCGAGCGGCGCCTCATGCTCGACGGCAGCGTCTCTTTGCCCTGCCTGCTGGATCGGGCCTCTTTGCTGGCTGTTCGCATGCTGGGGGGCTTCTTGAGTGCGGCCTGTTGGTCCTCGCTGACGAGCACGCTCGGCTTTGGCGAGTGTTGGAGCCGCGCGTCACGCTCGCGATCATGTTCGACGACTGCTGCGTGGGTTGTCACGGCCCTATGGCACAGGTCGCATACGTGGCCCTGGCTACTCAGGCCGTGGTCGGGCAGCTGGTGGCGCTGGGCTGCGAGGTTTCGGATTCCAAGAGCGAGCTGTTGGCAAGCTCGCCCGAACAAGCAGATGGGCGGCCAGGCTTCCCCATCGGACTCGGTCAAGAACCTTGGCGTGGACTACTGCCTCGACGGTCAGGCCTTCGTCGTCCTCGAGATGCGCCACTCGAAGGCAGCCGCGCAGCTCCAGAGGCTGCGCGCGGTCCGATCGTAAGAGACACCCGCCGCGGTGAGGGTGGCCAGCACGGGCCTTCGGCCAGCCACGCGGCACGGCCTACGCGCGGTTGGCTGGCCTTCGCCGCAGGTCACCAAGTGGCGGAGGCAGGTGCGCGCCGTGCACCACGGCAAGGGCCCTGGCAAGAGTCTCAGCCTTAGTTTCCTGTTCAGCAAGCGCCCGGCTAGCGACCCTCTCCTGGACCATGTCTCGCTGCCCATCGTGGCGTGGGCCAAAGCCGCGCAGTTCTACTCGGACCGCGCCGACCCGCGGGCCCTCGGCAGCGCGTTCGCGGGGGCCTTGGCGCGCAAGGAGGAGGAGGGCATCGAGACCCTTGCAGGCCGAGGGCCTGCATCGGCATGCGCGCTGGCGTGCCACCGTTTGGGCTGGTCTGTTGCTCGGCCAGGTCTCATCCTCAACGACCTGCAGCAGCCCGTGGACCTGAAGACCCTGGGCTCATCCACAATGACAAAGCACAGTGCTGCGAGCCACGAGCGGCTCCTGTGGCGGGACGCGGCCAAGCACCCTGGCCTCGAGCACCTGGCGAGAGGGGGCGCACTCTCCAGCATGAGGAGTGCCCTGCACCGCAAGAGGATAAGCAAGCAGGCGGCCAAGCAGATGAGCTCGGCCAAGAACGCCCTGACCGGATGTCTCTGGCCCGTGGCTCGGCGCTTCGAGGCTGAGCGTCCGCTAGCATCGTCGCCTTGGTGCCCCCGAGGGTGTCAGGCACAGGGCATTGTGCGACACCTAGCCTGGCAGCGCCTCTCCGCGGCACTCGGCCGCGCCGAATGGGAGGCGCACGACGACGGCGACGAGAGGCGACCGCCAGACGACATCCACTTCAGGACCATGGCTGTCACGGCCAGCACGAACGAGACAGAGGATCCTCTTTGGTCGCGGGCGCTCGCACCAGAGCACAGGAGGTCTCTCCCACTGCCCGCGGAGGAAAGGACGGCTCTCAAGGAGGGCCGCGGCGACCTGGTGGGGCAACCCCTCATGGGCGACTTGTTCACGGACGGCAGCGCCCTGGACTCGAGTTTGGTCTCAGCTCGCGGCGGCTGGGCAATGGTCGTTATGAGTCAGGACGCTGAGGCCGTCAGCATATTCGGCCCGCTGCCCTGGCCCTACCCCCAGGAGTCGAGCGCGGCGGAGTTGGTAACCGCCATCGAGGGGCTCCAAAAGTGCATTCCCCTTTGTCGGGATCTTCACCGATTGCCGGCTGCTTGTGGACGGCTTCGACGCGGGCAAGGCATTGTGCCTCCGGTGGCCGAGGCCCTACAGGGAGCTCTGGGGGCGCCTATGTGCGGTGATCGAGGACATCGGCATCGACAACATCACCATCCACAAGAAGGCGAATGCCCACGCGACGCTGGCAGATGTGCAGGCCGAGCGCATCGCCGCGTGGCAGCGCCGGGGCAACCACAGTGCCGACGCGCGCGACATTCAGGGCGCGCAGCTGCACCCTTCGGAGGAGGCTGTCCGCGCGCGCAGCCTGCGCAAGGATCGCCTAGTCAGGAAGGTCCTTCGCTGGCTGAGAGCTGCTGCGCAGGAAGGCGACGCCGAGCTGACAGCGGAGGATGGCCGTGACGGCCCAGGCATGGCAGAAGTGCGGTGCGGCTGGCGCGGATGCAAGCTGCGCTGCTGTAGCCACTGCAGTTCCCGCGATTGCCCAAGGATGACGTGCGGTCGGCACGGCACGTGGCTGGAGGTCGGCAGAGACACGCTCTGGGCCTGCCAGGAGTGTGCTGGGCGCGGCGGGGCGATCTCGGGTTTGTGGACCTCGGGTGCAGAAGGCGCCTCGGACTCAGCCGCAGCTGCCGCGACGATCCTCACCGCGATCGCCGCGTTCCTCTCCAGCCAGGCCAGTGGCGCGCACGGAGTTGCAGCAGATGGTGGCGAGCGCCGTGACGGCGGCGGCGGCACCTCGGCTGGCAGCGGTGGCGCGGCCGTGGCGGCGCGCGTGCAGCTTGCTGCGCAGCCGCCGCCCCCGCCCCCACCAGCCCTTCCACCGTGGCGGGGGCTCGACCCGCACGACTCACACGAGCTATGGCGTGCGGGCAACGACCTCTTCTGCGCCCAGTGCGGCTACTGAGCGCAGAGTGGTCGGGTGGCAGGCTTGGCCAAGGAGTGCCCGCAGGCCCCCAAGAGCGACAGGCAGAAGGCGGTTCTCGGCCGCCCCAAGCGAGGGCTGCAGCCAGCGGGGCAGGGCAGCGCTGGCGACCCTGAGCCCTTGCGCCGCATGCGCTGGCGCATGGACCGCTAGTCAGCCTTGCCTACCTTGGGCCAGAACCACGTGCGCAGGTACGCTCATGCACGGGATCGGGCCCAATGCCGATGGCAATGCAGCAAGTCCTAGCGTGTGGCATAGGCCATCAGGACAGTTGCTTGCGCTGCTGTCGGCTAGGTCGCTTTGACGCTGATCGCAGTTTGTTGCTCACGCGTGCATGGCATAGGCTCGGTGCGCGCGCTCAGTTGCTTGCAGCTTGCAGCGGAGGCTAAACCAGGTATGTCGGTTCGCCCACACGTGGGATCGGGCTCCGTCGCCAGCGGCACCGCAACCATCCCAGCAGAGTGCTAAGGGACGGGATGCGGTGCTGCGGCCTTTCTCTTTCTTTTTAGCAGCATGGCTCCGTGCTCGGTGGTGCCTTCCACCGCGGCCTGGCTGCCCCCCTCGCGTTGCAATGTTTTGCGGAGGCTGACCCAGGTGCGTAGGTTTCCCCACGCACGGGATCGGGCTCTGCACCCATCGGCATTGCAACCAGTCCGAGTGCGAGGCCAGGAGCCGAGGGTCGAGTTGTTTTGTTGATGGTATATCGCCTGTGCTGCGCGCCGCTCTTGCTTGCCCAGTCGTGGCACGCTGGTGCCTACAGGCTCTGTCGCTTGGGCAGAAGATGCACCAGGTGTGTGGGCTCGCTCACACGCAGGACCGGGCCCCGTTGTCAACGGCGTTGCAACTGTCCCTTTTTGGGCCTGCCCCAGGGAAGTGTTGCGACGCGGGTGGCGAGGTGTTGTCCTGCGGCGTGGCGCCCGACGCGCTGTTGCACCGCCTGGCTAAAGCTGTCTGGCGCGAACGCCATGTCATACCAGCTGCGCTACCGCTGTGCTGCACTCACTGGCAGCAGCAGGCTGCCCATTTTTACTGCCGCGAGGCGCGCCTTCAGTGCAACTCTGTCCTGAGCGCTAGCTTCGGAGGCTGACCCAAGAATGAAGGTTCGCCCTCGCTCAGGATCGGGCCCCGCGCCATTGGCAATGCAACCGGTCCGTCTCAGTGGCCAGGGGCCGCATCGACGGGTTGCTGTGCTGATGGGTCTCAGAGGAGCGCTAGCTTCCGCATCGCGCGCTGGCTCGCCAGCCGTTCAATGTAGCTTCTGGCGCGCCGCGCGCGACAGCTGCCCGCGCGTCTGACGGCGCGGAGGGCGACCCGCGAGCGTCGGTTCGCCCACGCTCTGGCTCGAACTCCGCAGGCCTGAGGAGCAACCGCGTCGGTCGAGCGGCCTGGCGCCGTGGATTCGGTTGCTTATCAAGTGCGGCGCGCAGCAATGCTGTGCACCAGCCCGCTTTTCTACGCAGCGTGGCCTCTGCTAGCTGCCGCGCGGGCTGAGTCGTTCCGGCAGCTGGGATCGGTCATCCGCTTGCCTCGGCTGAGGCGGTTGGTTGCTCGCGGCACTCAGGCGAATCTGCGCGCGTGCGCCGAGGCGCACGTGACCGAGCGTTGCCACCGTAGGGCCAAAGGGGAACGTCTCGGTCCGAGGGGCAGTACGAGCTGGGAGCTCCTGTCCCCTTCAGACGCCGGGATCATCATCCTCCTCCTTCTCCTGACCATCATCGTCTTAATTTGCATTATTCTCAGCATCGTCATCATCATGGCCGTCATCATCACCAGCATCGTCATCACCACCATCATCGCCATCATCATCGCCAGTACCGTCACCACCATCGGCATCCATCTTGCCACACCCTCCACACGGTTCGCGGTCCCACAGGGACTCCCACCCAAGGCCCCCGTGGCGCCGACCGCATTGCGGCGGCGCCTTGTTTGGGCATACCACTCACACGTTGCGCGGCCCCATAGGGAGCTCCACCTAAGGCCCCAGTGGCGCCGTCCGCATGGGGGAGGAACATGTGTTACAAGCTATTGCCTCGGTGCTCGCGGCGGGGGCGTGTGGTGTTTGCGTGTTGGGACTATAAGATGAGTTTCGTGGTTGACTTCGCAAGGGATGCATCCATGATCAAGATTCAGCCAGTCCGTGAGTTCAGGGTGTTGCTTGACGTTGTTCGGAATTACGTGTCCATTTTGACCACGGTATCCTTGCGCCTCATTCTTAAAAGAGAGGTGTCAAAGCACCAAGTGGCGCCTTGCTGGTAGATTTGGTCGACGCCGTGGCTGCCAACGTGGGTGGCGTAACGGATGATGAAACAGATGCCGCTAGGGAAGCCGTTCGCGCGCTGGCTGCAAATCGGAGGAAGAAGAGGCAGCACAAACAACATTCAAACGGACCGTCAGACGAAGAAAAACGCCCCTCCTGGCGAGGATCAGCGCGAGGGCGCGGAAGAGGGGATTTTACTGTCAAGGAGCGTGATGGCATGGAGAAGTTCGTGCCCCTTCTTCTAGTTGAGATTGCAAAATCAGACGTCCAGCACACGTTGGGGAAACTTCCCGCTGGCTCCGCGTTGAACGAGGAAGAGACACATGAAGGTACTGAGCAAGTGCGAGCACGCTTGGGAGCCGAACCGCCACCGAACAAAAAAAAAAAAAAAAAAAACGCTGAGATTCCAGCGCCTGCTCCACCTGAAGCCCATTTGGGTGAACCCGGAAGCAGTTCAGCTGGTCCCGAGAGGCCAGCAGTCGTCCACCGTGGCATGCCGCTTGACCAGGCTGCACTAGACCGAGCCATGGAAGTCGCCGAGCTGTTCATGGATGTGAGCGGTGATCTTGCGGGAGCTGACATTGACGGCCCGGTTGCCGAGAGCCCCGTCGTGCCCTGCCCAATCGATGGTGACGAGCACCCCCCTGATGCAGGTGCCGGCGAGATTGGAGAGCTGCCCGCTGCTCCACTTCAGGAGCCCGGTAGTGGCGCTGGCCCCTCGGCCTTGCCAGCGCTGCCCGCGCCAGGCGCCGCGCCTCCTGACGTAGGCATGCGGTTCGGGAGAGTGGATCCGAGCGGTCGGAATCCATTCCGGCGCGCGCGCCTCCCTCCAGAGAAGACCGCGGGCGGCCAGCGTTCCTTGACCCAGACGTTTGGGAGAATCCGTTCAGGACAGCAGGCGAAGACGGCCTGGTGGAATCTTTTGCTGCGCCGTTGCAGCAGGCGTCGTCCCGCCATTTTGAAGTGCGAGTTTGCGCGTGCAGCCGTCCAGGAAAAAGTGGAACAGCGGTCGTTATGAGTATTGCTCTGGCTCTGCTGGATAACATAAGCTTCGCTTTTGGCACTGCTGGGTTTGTTATGGTTTAGTGTGAACGCTGTTCTGTGCGGTGGGGCCCACAGTGCAGTCATTGCTCGAAATGGGGTTCGGGGGTCTGCTATTTCCAAACAGTGTTTCGCAGTGTGGTTTTACGTTATAGTCCCACTGCAGAGCATGATGCTATGACATACCATTGGGCGTTACAACATGGACTTTCACACTTTACAAAGCTAAGCAATTTCATCAAGGACATGGAGAAATAATGAAACCCAAACCTCGCACAACTTGAAGCACAGTTGCATTTGTTTGGTTCAAGTTAGATGATTCCCACTGTTGTAGTCGATCCTGTTTTCGAATTCCCGCGTGGATCTCCAATCGTCTCTGTGTGTGCCGTTTTTGTTGTTCTATCCTCGGCCTCATTTGGGAGAACCGACATGGGTGCGGAAACAAGGGGTACCAAGGCCAACGCCAGTTCCTGTCCGTTCCGAAAACGGTTCGTTACCGGCGTCGCCGCGGACGTTGCCCACTCGAGACAGACAGTCGCGTGTCCAACAGCGGCCGTGGCTGGTTTCGGACAACACTTGCTGTTGCGCATTGTGCCCATTGTTTCCATTAACCCATTTCGGGCGTTCTAACTCATCCTCCTCGCATCCCCCACGTCCAACCTCCTGGAGTCGGGCTGGGCTGGCTCACCTCTTTCTCCTCCTCCTCCTCCTCCTCCTCTTCCTCCTCCTCCTCCTCCTCCTCTTCCTCCTCCTCCTCCTCCTCCTCCTCTTCCTCCTCCTAAAAGTTCTCTCCGCCTCCTCTCCGTCCTTTGTTAGTAAACGTGCCTGCCGACCCGTTGGTTTTTTTTTCCCAGCCAACCTGTGTTGTTGGGTCCTCGTTTTGAAGAGACGGTCCCCGCGTTCCTTTCTCCTTCCTCCTTCCTCCTTCCTCCTTCCTCCTCCTCTCCTTCCTCCTCCCTCCTCCCCCTCCCTTCTGGCACACCCCTCACACGCTTCGTGGCCCCATAGGGAGCTCCACCGAAGGCCCCAGTGGCTGCGCCCGCATGCGGTTCACACCCCCACATTCTGGCACACCCCTCACACGTTTCGTGGCCCCATAGGGAGCTCCACCGAAGGCCCCAGTGGCTATGCGGGGCACACCCCTCACAGGCCCCACCGAAGGCCCCACGCATGCCACCCCCCATTCTGGCACACCCCTCACACGTTTCGTGGCCCCATAGGGAGCTCCACCGAAGGCCCCAGTGGCTGCGCCCGCATGCGGTTCCACCCCCCATTCTGGCACACCCCTCACACGTTTCGTGGCCCCATAGGGAGCTCCACCGAAGGCCCCAGTGGCTGCGCCCGCATGCGGTTCCACCCCCCATTCTGGCACACCCCTCACACGTTTCGTGGCCCCATAGGGAGCTCCACCGAAGGCCCCAGTGGCTGCGCCCGCATGCGGTTCCACCCCCCATTCTGGCACACCCCTCACACGTTTCGTGGCCCCATAGGGAGCTCCACCGAAGGCCCCAGTGGCTGCGCCCGCATGCGTTCCACCCCCCATTCTGGCACACCCCTCACACGCTTCGTGGCCCCATAGGGAGCTCCACCGAAGGCCCCAGTGGCTGCGCCCGCATGCGGTTCCACCCCCCATTCTGGCACACCCCTCACACGTTTCGTGGCCCCATAGGGAGCTCCACCGAAGGCCCCAGTGGCTGCGCCCGCATGCGGTTCCACCCCCCATTCTGGCACACCCCTCACACGTTTCGTGGCCCCATAGGGAGCTCCACCGAAGGCCCCAGTGGCTGCGCCCGCATGCGGTTCCACCCCCCATTCTGGCACACCCCTCACACGTTTCGTGGCCCCATAGGGAGCTCCACCGAAGGCCCCAGTGGCTGCGCCCGCATGCGGTTCCACCCCCCATTCTGGCACACCCCTCACACGTTTCGTGGCCCCATAGGGAGCTCCACCGAAGGCCCCAGTGGCTGCGCCCACATGCGGTTCCACCCCCCATTCTGGCACACCCCTCACACGTTTCGTGGCCCCATAGGGAGCTCCACCGAAGGCCCCAGTGGCTGCGCCCGCATGCGGTTCCACCCCCCCATTCAGGCATACACCTCACACGTTTCGTGGCCCCATAGGGAGCTCCACCGAAGGCCCCAGTGGCTGCGCCCGCATGCGGTTCCACCCCCCATTCTGGCACACCCCTCACACGTTTCGTGGCCCCATAGGGAGCTCCACCGAAGGCCCCAGTGGCTGCGCTCGCATGCGGTTCCACCCCCCCATTTCGGCACACCCCTCACTCGTTTCGTGGCCCGGGGGCGCCACCAAAGAATATATCCACAATTGCGGTATTCACAACTACGTATGGTTGGGTCTTCCGTCAGGCTAATTATCGCCAGTGGTGAAGGGTCAGGGGTCAAGGTTCGTTTTCGGAGGCCTCCTGGGGGTGATGTCCGCTCCGCCTCATCCACCTCCTCCTCCTCCTCCTCTTGTCCTCCTCCTCCTCCTTCTCCACCTCTTGTCCTCCTCCTCCTCCGTCTCCTCCTCTTGTCCTCCTCCTCCTCCTCCTCCTCCTCCTCCTTCTCCTCCTCCTCCTCCTCCTCCTCTTCCTCCACCTCTCTCCCAGTCTTCCCGCACACCATCAGGAATTAGGAATCGGCTTGGGCCCGGAGACCAGGGTCCAGGAATGCAAAGCCTGGGCACGGAGGCGAAGAGAACGCAAAGCCTTGCGGAGCACTAGCTGTGCCGCGTCCCGCGTGTCTTCGCCTTTGCCACTGCAGAGTCTGATGGCGGCTACAGGTAACCGTTGGGTCGGAGCCGCCAGCCCACGGCTCCTGATTCTTGATTCCTCCCTTTTTCACCCCTTCGTGAAGTCATTACCCTTCTCCTCTTCCTCCTCCTCCCCCTCCTCCTCCTCTTCCTCCTGCTCCTTCTCCTCGTCCTCCTCGCTCTCCTCCTATCTCTCCCAGCAGACCTGGAGGTTGCCTCACAACCTGGGCGCGCTCGAGGCGTTCGACGCGCTCGAGGTGCTGCTTCTCGCCCGGAGCCTGCAATCTGCGAGCCCCGTCCAGAGGCAGGGGATGTCGGATGGGGCGAGGAGGGCGAGGGACGCCCTGGCGGAGAGCCCCCACAGCATGCTTTGGATCAACGAGCTGGGGCGGATCTACGCCGACGAGGCCAGCCCGTCCGTCCGCTCGTCCTCGCTCCGTCTGTGTGCTTACAGTGGAGGCCCATGCCAAGAAGCACCCTGCTTGCCTCCAGGATGCCCTGGGTTTCCTGGTGTTCCGTGGCTTTGCTATGGAAAGCGTGACGTCCCCACACCAAAAATCAATGGACGTCCTGGGGTCTCAGGGTTGGGTTTCTTGTGGAAGGTTTCTGGTGGGCTGGCCTCCACTGCATGAATACCGTACGTGTCTGTGCATCTACTTATACCTGCACACGCAAGACTGCTTTGGCAATTGTTCCATGCACCGTGGCCCGCGAATGGTTGCATGCAGGCGGGAGGGCAAGAAGGTAAAACATGTGATGTAGCGATAGCTCCTTGTTGCCTTGTTTCCCCGACATCGCCGTTCTGATCATGTTGTGACTTATCCGTCCCTCAGATGTCCTCTTCCTCTTCCCCGTTCTCGCCTTACACTGCGAATTCCCCCCTGTCCTCAGCTCTTTTTGCGAATGCTCCTCCTTGGACAACCTCTTGGGGGCCTCACGAGAGTGTTTAAGGTCTTGTTGGGGCCTTCTGGAGGCCTCCTGGGTTCCTTCTGAGGGCTCCCTCAGGCCACCCTGCTTCCAACCACGGTCTACCCAAACAACCAGGTCACGATTTGGAATTCTTCGGGGGGCGTCTTGCGGTCATCTTAGGCCATCATGGGCTCTCTTCAAGCCATCTTGGTACCCTGTTGTGCCATCTTGGGATTCTCCCAGACTGCTTGGAAGCCCTTCCGGGTAGTCTTGGGATGATTTTCCGACCTCCTGTGGGGTCTCGGATGCCCGGACCACCGAAGAACAGAGCATTTTCAAAATCATACAAAAACGCCATTGGGCAAAACGATGTGTATTACCTTTCGAAGGCCTCTTGGGGATCTTCTTTGGGGCTCTTGCGGGGCCGTTCGGCCGCCTCTTGAACGATTTAGGTCCGTTGCTTGGTCCCGGCAGTGGCTTGCAGGAGCCACAGAAAGCCCGAGGGACCTTCTGCAGGGACGTCCAGGGGGCCCTTGGGGCCACGGATCAGGAGGGGTCCGTTTCGGAGGGGGGTCCCTCACCCCCGATTGTACACAGTGTATGTATATGTACAGAAAGAAAGAGAGAGAGAGAGAGAGAGAGAGAAAAAGAGAAATCGAAAACGACTACGGCGAATCACCGCCGCCCCCTGCCTCTCGGAAGAGCCTACCTGGCCGAACGTTGTGGCCAGAGCTCGGCCAAGCTATCGGACTACATGTTCCCCCAGCCATTGTGGAAACCTTCGGAGGACATGTGGGGGAGAAAGGAGGAGGAGAGGGAGGAACAAGGAGGAGAAGGAGTCCACTTGGGAGCTTCTTGGTGCACTCTTGGGACATCATGCGTGTTTCCTGGGGGCATCTTGGAGGCCTCTTGGGGGCTTCATTGGGCCTCCTGGGGAGCCGTTCGAGGCTCCTTGGGAGGCTCGTTGGTCGTCTGAAATCGGTCCTGACGCCGTCGGAAGCTGTCTTGCGGGCCTCCTGGGCCGACTTGGGGCCTTCTTGGGGCGCTTCAGGGCCGACTTGGAGACCATCTTGGGCGTCTGGGAGGTCTCCGGGGCCGTGTTGGGGCCGTCTTGTGGCCGTCTTGGGGGCCCCTTGGGCCGTCAGGGGGCCATCTCTGGGGCCTCGTGGCCGTCTTAGGGCGTCGGGAATCCGAAGATAAACAAACGCCAACATGGGTCAAACACCAATGGGAAATCAATGATGGTGGCATCGTCGGGCCCTGGCGGTCCTCTTAGAGGCCTCTTGGCTCGTCTTGGTGGAGGCCTCGTTGGCCATCTTGGGCGACCTTGAGGCCATACTAGGGCCATACTGAGACCATCTTAGGCATTTTGGGCCGTCTTGAAGACATCTGTCGGCTGTATTGGGCTCTCTCGGGTCCGTTTTGGAGGCGTCTTGGGACCTTCTTGGATGCCATCTTGCCGTCTTGGAGCCGATGTGGCCAACGGATAACAAAGTGTTGGGGCTCTTCGGGTGGCCAGCGGGTTGAGCCGAGACACGACCGAGAGTTCTAAAAGAACCAAGAACCCCATACATCCAGCACGCCGTGCACCCCTTGGCAAGCCACAGGGGGCGAATATACTGGATTTCGGCCCATTCTGCCACCGTGCCTTGGGTGTCGTTCAGACGCCTCTTTGGACGCCCGTGGCAATCTCTTGAAAGGCATCTCGGAAGCCTCTTGGAGGCGGCTTTGAGTGTTGTTGATGCCTCGGCTTCTTGCGGGACCTCTTGGGGCCTGGTTAATGCCTCTTGGGGCTTCTGAGGGCCTTTTGAAGGCCTGCTGGCGGTCTCGGCGGTCAGCTTGAGGAGGAAGGCTCGAAATACCGGTGCGTGTTCCCCTTCTGGGCCCCCTTTTTTGCAGTCTGCAGGGCATCTTGGGCCGTCTTGGAGCCCTGGTGGGCCGCCTGGGGACCGTTGTGGGGGCCTCTTAAACCGTCTCGGGGCGATATTGGAAGCCTCTTGGACTGCCTTGGAGCGTCGGGGGCCCGAAAAAGCGAGAATGCTAAAATCTGTCGAAAGCCTAGGGACTAGTATTGATGTTGGCCTCTTGAGGCCGTCTTGGGTGGGCTCTCGGAGCTTTCTTGCAGCATATTGGTGGCCACTTGAGACGTCTCGAGGCCATCTTGGGCATCATGGAGTGTTCCTGAGCCGACTCGGGGCCCTATGTGACCGACTTGAGGGCCTCTCGGGGCCCTTTTTGCCCGTCTCGGAGCACCCTGGCGTTAGAACAAGTCACGCGGGAACACGCGGGGAGCCTGGGAAAACCCGGCAATTCGAGGTCTTGGCTTTGGAATATTCAGTCGCGCAGGATCGGGGACGGGGAACTCCAAGGGACTTGAGAGCACTCCAACTCGTGCCCCAGAGTTCCGTCGCGGATACCGGCGCATACTAACAGAACATGTGTATATTTATGTGTATATATTTACATGGGCGTGATTAAAGTTTGGCCCTTTTTTAGCATAGCCGAAGTAATGGCTACGATGCATCCACACGTCGTTTTCCAACCGTTTGGAAATCGATGCTATTGTTTCGAACCGACGTGGAACCGTCAGAACAACCATTTTTGTGAGGGTGTCTCACGCGGTTTGCCGTTTTCGAACTGCCATCCCCTTCTTTCGAACCGAGTTGGAACCGTGAGAACAAGAATTTGTGTGAGGATGTCCCACGGGGTTTGCCGTTTTCGAACCGCCATCCCCTTCTTTCGAACCGAGTTCGAACCATCAGGACAGCAGATTTTGTGAGGATGTCCCACGCGGTTTGCCGTTTTCGAACCGCCATCCTTTTGTTTCGAACTGGGTCCGACGCCGTAATTTGAGGGAAGCCCCACGCGAAACGCTCATTCTGCTTTTGTTTCGAACCGCATTCTATTGTTTCGAACCGAGTTCGAACCGTCTTGAGAGCCAATTTTGTGAGCATGTCCCACGCGGTTTGCCGTTTTCGAACCGCCATCCCGTTTGGCTTAATAATATTTTAATTTAAGGAACCAGATCCAGGTTCGAACCCCGCCCCGACAGCCCAGGTTCGAACTCCGCCCCGAAAGCGAGGCACATCCCCGTAACATTGTACCAGGCTCCACGTCCCTAGCGGGGCGACTAGCGACGTGCGTTCGCGTTGCGGACGCAGGATGCACTTTTGCCGACCCGTCCAAATGGGGCAACCTGTCATCGCGGCACAGACGTGTGCTCGCATTGCGGACGCAGGCTGCACTTCTGCCGACCCGTCAAAGTGGGGCAATCTGTCATCACGGCACAGACGTGTGCTCGCATTGCGGACGAAGGATGAACTTCTTCCGACCCGTCAAAATAAGGTAATCTTTCATCACGGCACAGTATATATATATAGAGATCCACGAGTGCAAGTATAATTTCTTTCACGTTTGTCGATAGATGTGCAGCAGTGTGCGTATACATGTAGACATCCCCCAACAGTGGTTGCGCCTAGGAGCCCTTCTGCTCTAGAGCGCGTGGGCCTCTGCGTCGCTCGGGCGGCTCCGGTGCCGGCCGCCGCCGCTGCTTCGACGCTTCGTTGCCGCCCGTAGCCGCCGCTGAATTACACCACCTGGACTGCACGAAAGAGAAGTCGCGCCGTCGTCGTTGTCGGCGTCGTCGAAGTCGCTGGAGACGTCGGTGTCGTCGTAGTCGCTGTCGGCGGTGTTGTCGTCGTCGTTGTCGCTGTCGTCGCCGGCGTCGCTCTCGCTGCCAAGTGTAATCTGGTACCCACCGTCACGGTCTTCAGAGATTTTGCAAACCAAGTTGCGGGTGGGTGGGTGGGTGGGATGTTTGCGCGAGCAGTGGAGTTGACAACTTCAAATCCGGCAGGTGAATTGCACCACATAGATTGCACGAAAGAGAAGTCGCGCCACCGGCTCGCTTCGTCGTCGCTCACCATATGGATTCTCCGCTTTGCAAGAAATTCGATTCTACCCCCAGCACCCCCCCCCAGGGGTTTCAATTCGGCCTCGCGTATAGCAGTTTACATCTGATTCCGCCTCCTTGCTCATTTTCCTTACGAATTCACACCACCCTTGTGAGTTCACACCATCCCAGGGGAGCCGGTACCCGCCCCCCCCCGCCATCCTCTGCAACGAACGCTATCCGCGCGCACTCGCTTATCAAAAAGCATCAGCTTTAAGAACCCTCTGCAAAAGATGGGGCGAAATGCACACGCGCGCGTTGTCGCGCGCGCCTGCTGGAATCCTTCCAAAACCTTCGGCTTCGCAAGGGTTTCAAAATCGAGTGTCCAAAAGACATATAGAACACAAGGTTTCGCAAAACGGATGCCCAAAAAGAGCTAGCGCGCGCGATCGTAATAATTCGTATGGAAACCATAAGTTTTACAACATGTTCAGAACAGCTACCAGACGGGCTTCGCGCGCGCATGTCGAACTCGTTCGAACGCCTATGTGCGCGTGCCGTCGCGAGAATCCCTTTGCAAGTCGTCGCGCGCGCATGCCGGAATCA